CGGCAGCAGTTTTCATTCGCTCTTGATTTCTGAGGTAATCTAGCGGTTGGGCGGAGCATGTTTAGCTCCCGCGGGAGCTAAATGTATGCTGTGCGTTGCGATCAGTAATTTCCTTTTGTTTATATAGTAAGTGTATAGTGTGGATCTGTCTACAGTTGTTGGACAGATGATTTATATCATGTCCTTCTCAGATAACCACATTATACTGCACTCCAGCTTGAATTTAACCCCTCCTGCCCCACGTATGCGTGAGAATGGTTATGAAAAGATGCCCCCTGTTGAAGAGACGCTGGTCTGCTATCTCTCTATGCGGGAGACATCTTCTCTTAAGGCTCCCTCCCTGCCACCCAAACCCCTTCAGGATGCATCTTGTTTGAATGGCAGGGCATACGCGGCAGCAGGTCAGGCTACAGTCTCATTGCACACCATGGCAGTGCTTCAGGCTTTTCAGGCTGATCTGTTGAAAGACCTGGATAAAGGCAGGTTCTATCCCCTGATGAGGTGGCTGAGTTGCGTCGCACCACGGATCTTGCTCTCCGTGCCACTAAGCAGGCTGCTACTGCCATTGGCAGATCCATGGTGGCCATGGTGGTTACGGAAAGACATCTGTGGGTGAATCTGGTGGATATCGGGTCAAAAGAGAAGGGCTTTCTTCTTGATGCAGCGGTTTCCCCTTCTGAGCTTTTCAGCACTTCTGTCGAGACGGTGGTTGTGAAGCTTTAGAAGGCCAAGACGTGCTCGGCTGCCTATAAATCCTTCATTCCATGAAGTTCCAGGCTTCGGGCTTCGCCTTCAGCCTGTATCCATGGGCCTGAGTCATGCGCGGGAGCCATGTTTGGTGAGTACGATCCATTTTTATCTACTTTACTGCTAGTTCTTATGTATTTGATGCTAGCCTTTCTCTGCAGCGCTACTCTGACCTGTTCTGTTTTTTTGACTTTTAGGTTTGATCCACCTGCTAAGTCAGGACCTCCTGCTGTTGACCGATTACAGTGATGGTTTCACTCATCGGTTCTGGTTCCAGGCTGGTTCCACAGTGGTGATTGAGGCGCTCAACGCTCC